ATTCCAGAAAAACTATTCTGCTGCCGCTCAGGCATAAGTTCTTATTCCGGAACACTGTTCCAGAAAAGGGCCAGTGTAGACAGCCCAGTAGTCTTTTCCAGAAAAAAGCCCCGATTGCGAAAATGGCAATCGGGGCTCTTTTCCGGAAAAGCGCGTCTACATTGGCCACAGATGCTTTTCCGGAAAAAGGGCTTTTCCAGAAAAGCAGCCTGCCAACGAAGACGCGCTTTTCTGGAAAAACTGAAAACAGAATAGTATTCCGTTTTAAGCATTTCCGGAAATTGATGCCTGTGTAGACACAGCCTTTATGTATAGGTGGATGAAGACTTTACATGACTTGTCCCCTTTAATTCAGCAGGCTTCAGTTGCCTATAGTCTGTAAGGCACTTTTGGATCCTTGGAGAGGAAAGCACTCTCTAAATTGAAGATATTACTCTATTATTCAAGTGCAACAAATGCTCTTTCATCAAATACTTATGAAAACAATATTGATGAAATTTTATGTGCTGTGAACATAAATATGTCCTATTTTTTTCAGTGATCAAATGCGAATGTGGCTAATCATTTATACTATATCAGTATATTTAAGCAACAGTCCCTTGGCAAATTTTTTTTATTATTTTTGCATCACTTGTGTATCAAGAAATAATTGATACAACATTTCCCCTCCAATGTGTTAGGAACACATTGTTTGCCTAGCAATTCTGTTAAATGTTTTTTCCTTACTTTGTCTTTCAGGTTGACAGCTAAGGCAGTTGCTGTGTTGTTACCTATCTTGGGAAGTTCATGGATCTTTGGAGTTTTAGCTGTTAATGATCATGCACTAGTATTTCAGTACATGTTTGCAATATTCAATTCTATGCAAGTAAGTACATAGTGCTGGCTCTGAAGGCTCAAACATGAGCTGTAGATCACTGCAAACTTGCAACTTACAGATCTGCAGCAATGTTTCCAGTTGTGCACATTTTTCTGATCTTCCATTTCCCTTTATTTCATAAGACCATATAATCAGTGCTAGTACTCCAGTCTTTGCATGCTGAACATACTGAGCAATTAAGTGAAACATCAAGGACTAGATATTACAGTGGAAGCACTGCTAAAAATTTTCAGTTTGTAAAGTAAAATTAAGAGTCTGTGATCCACAAGGAGCCAGATAAGACAGTACTAGGTGGCTGGGTAGATCTTAGTAAATTAAGCAATAGGATACATGGGTTGCATTTGACAAAGGTTAATAGGAAAGAGGCTCAGTGATGCGTGTACTGCAGTTGTGACAGGAGGGCAAAGTAAAAGGGCCCTGAAAGCAAAGCATCCTTAGTTAGGAAAGGATTTAAAACCCTGCTTAACTATAAGCAGGTGCTTGATTACATCCATACAGTTAAGGGTATGTTTAAGCTTCCTTTCCTGAATTACAGAGTTAAAAACTGCATGTGTGATTTTTGTGGTCATCTCACAAAGGAGTTCGACAGAGAATTTGGAGGCAGACACTTTCTGTCAAAATTGTGTTAAAAACACACATTTCTTAAAAATAAAATAAAGGTTTTAGATGGAAAAATGTTGACTAGTAGCCTAATGCTTTAACTGGTGTTGTAAATGAATAAGTTAGGGAAGAATTTGACTCAATTATGCTTTAAATCTCTGACTGTACGACACGTAGTACAATATTTCACATAATTGTAATATTATCCTTCTCTGTATTTTATTTTAGGGATTTTTCATCTTCCTGTTTCACTGTCTTCTGAATTCAGAGGTATGATACCCCCACAATAAACAACCAATGATGCTAAAATACTGATAGGATGATACAAAGATTGAAAATAAGCTTTGATATGTTTAGGAAGCCCTTGTTTCATGCTGTTGCCTTAAGTACTGCTGCCCTTTATTCCTCAGTCATAGTTGCTTAGCAATGTGTATTTTTTGTACGTTGTCACTGTCATTACATTTTATGAGATTTTCAGGAAGACAGTTAAAAAAAACTCTCCAGTACTACAGATGTAAACCAAACAGAGAATTAACCCATTAAGGGCACTTCCCTTGTCACTGATATTTGTAAGTTTGTGGAAAAAACACGAAACTCTCTGTGATTTTATGACTCAGAGGACTCCTGCCCACACCTGACCCCACTTTGTAGAAATGTATGTCATTTAGCACATTTAACCTGAAGAGCATTTTCCTGATAGCTGATCACAGGTCAGAATTCAAGTGGAAAAGTATTGCTTCATCAGGGATTGCCACTAACACTCTATGGACAACATGTCTGAAGATGCAGAGGGGGAAATAAATATTAATCTCAGCAAAACAAACTTTTAAAACTCACTCCCCACTTTGTAGAAATGTATGTCATTTAGCACATTTAACCTGAAGAGCATTTTCCTGATAGCTGATCACAGGTCAGAATTCAAGTGGAAAAGTATTGCTTCATCAGGGATTGCCACTAACACTCTATGGACAACATGTCTGAAGATGCAGAGGGGGAAATAAATATTAATCTCAGCAAAACAAACTTTTAAAACTCACTC